ACAATATATGTATCAGTCGCTGATGGCGTATACGATAATCCTTCGAAACTTAACGCCAAACGAGCAACAGAACATCCGGTCTTATCAAGGATACGGCAACTCCGCCGATCTGGCATACGACCATCTGAAAAGCCTGTATCAAGCAACAGACAGCGTTAACCAGAGTCGTCTCATGGCACAGTTGACAACAGTGGAAATGAAACCCGGCGAAAAGGGAATGGCTTATATTAGCCGTTGTCGCGGACTGCGCGACAGACTCCTTCGATGCGGAGGGTCAATTTCGGAAGAAGCATTTGTAACAGTCATCATCGCCGGTCTTGGTCCTCATTGGCGCTCCACTCGAGCACTCCTTCGAGCTCACAGGAAGATCTCCGAAGCAGCACTCTGCGCCGAAATTCACGACGAACAGCAGGATATGGACCTGCACGAAGAACGACATAAGAAGAAAGCGTTAGCACCGGAATTTGCCTTTCATACTCAACGACGCTACAACAACAACAACAACCGACACAACAACCGACAAGTACAACAGTACGTCCCACCGTTTTGTCATCTTTGCAAGACATCCGGTCATCCGCGCACACACTGCCCAAATCAGCAGCAATCGACAACACCGCAACGTCAACTTCGGCCTTCAAGCAGTCCAGTAGCCTCTACGCAGGTGCATCCCACCACTCAAGTGCAGTCTTCAACATCTTCAACATCGCAATCTGCACAAGGAACAAGAAACATCGTTAGCTGCATGACAAGAACGACGGACTCCTGCATCATCGGATCACCACCCCACTACTCACCAGAAGACCAACTCGATGAAAGGACTCCTTGCCGCGAATCACTGGAGCCCAATCCGACGTATGCAGCTATCGCCCAAAGCGAACCGTCCGGGCAAGACACTTGGTTCTTGGACAGTTGCTGTGGACAACATATGTGCTCTTCAAGTCGTTTCGTTCAACAAGAACATCAACTTCAGCGCAAAGTCGTCATCACTGTGGCCAACAACCAAAACCTGCACACACGACGACAAGGAGAAGTACAACTTCAGTCCCGAGAAACCAACGTCATCCTACAAATGTCTAAAGTCCTGATTGCAGAAGGACTTGGCTACAACTTCCTGAGCGTCAGCCAACTGATAGCGAAGGGTATTCATCTTGAAGCAGACGGCACCACTCAGGGGTTCAAGCTATTCCACGGTAAAGGAGGACTCTACATCGGCAGAGCAGTCTTGAAGAATAACGTCTTCGTCATCGATTTGTACCAGATCAAGGAACCGCCGATAGCGACGCCATCGTCAACTTCGCCTCTTGGACGCACCCACCGGACCTCGATCCCGACTTCAGCCCTGGAGGATTCTGGTATTCACATACCATACCTGAATCAGAAAGAACACGGGAATTAGCAACAATTCGGCAAGAAGAAACAACATCGACGGCAGCAGAGACAACATCGGCAACAACAGCAACACTCACAGCACCAATCGCGAGCTCTTCAACGACACCAACCTTCATCGACGACACTCCACCGACTCCTGCGCAGCAGTTAACTCCCACTCCACGAGAAGTTCACAGAAGCGCCAACTTCACCGCCGCCTTTTACTCCAACTCCGACGTGTACAGGCGCTCACCCGGACATCGAGCAAGCGAATCCCTGTGGCACGAACGACTGGGTCACCCAAGCAACACCACGTTAAATAATTCTATCAAGGCAGCAGTACTCGACAAAGATTCACTCCTTCTACCCGACGGCAGAGAACTCCAACGAGTCCGCGGAACATGCTTTACCTGTCCCGAAGCCGACCTACCACATCAACCGTTCAACTCTCACCACAATCCAAGCGCGCCAGCCTACGCACCACTCGAGAAAGTATACAGCAACATCCTGTATACTCGCGAACAAGGACAAGGAGCATATAATTACGTGATTACTTTCATCGACGCCGCCACCCGTTACGTCTGGCACCTTAATCTCCCAAGTCGCGTCATGGCCTTCGAAGCCTTCGTCGCCTGGCTACCTGTGGCAGAACGAGAATCAGGAGCAAAGCTGAAAAGCTTCCAGTCTGACGGAGGAGGGGAATATCAGTCCCAGAGGTTCAGGCAGTACCTCGTAGAACGAGGCATCAAGCGCCTCATCTCACTTCCCTACGCCCATCAACAGCAAGGCGTGGCAGAACGGATGAACAGAACTCTCCAGAACACCATGCGCAAATTGTTGCGTGGCATGCGACTGCCCAATCACCAGTAGCCTGAGGCGATGGACCACGCTGTCATGCTGCACAACTTGCTCTCGTCGTCATCACTTCCGAACAACGCATCACCGCACCTGCTGTGGACAGGAAAGCTGGGCAACACAAAAATGTTACAAGTTTTCGGGTGCATGGTACAGTACCGCCCGCACACTGCAAGAGCCGGAAGATTTTCTCAACGCGCACAGTGGGGACTACACCTGGGCATCGAAAAGCATTACAACGCATGGAAGATTTTTGACGTCCACTCAAAGGAAACAGTAGCAGCACGTGATGTCATCTTCTACGAGCGACTCACACTTCAAACGTACCTGGACAACCTGGCAGCAAATCGAGACCTCACGGGCGGCTTCCGTGGCAACCGAGCCTTCGCTTCAGCAGCAGACGAAGCTGACTGGGACGAGCAAAACGTGGACAACACATCCGAGGAAGCAGGACCACTCCCATACTGCTCCGTGCCCATCCCGATGGATGACGAAAATCCTCGCGAAAGTGCCAACGCCGAAACTTACTTCGATTTCGCTGACACTGGTTACGTAACACCCCAACCGGTCGACACCAACATCTCCGAACGCATAGGACCGAATTTCAACACGAAATGGAATCTGTTAGAATGTGAGCGAAATGAATGGATGAACTAGAAAGCAGGTGGGTACAAGTAGCAAACCTAGAAGTGTTGTACCCTATGAGAACTACCCCACTACAGCCTAAACAGACTATAGCATATAAGTTTGACACACCCCCACAGGCAAAGTGGGGGAGAACAAGAGGTCACAAGACCAGTCAAGAAAGGCAAAGCAAGCTCAGGGTGGATCACAAAGTCACCACGCAGTCTGAGCACAAGCAAATGGCCACAAGGCCAGTTCACATGCAGAGTTATATAAAGGAGAACAAACAATACAGTGAACACAACCTAGCAAGTGTAAGCATGCAGGTATATGTATAAAGAGTACAGTACAAGCAGAGTCAAGAAGAAAGCAAGTGAGGCACAGTAGGTACAAGGCCTAACACAGTACAAAAAGGCTGATGATCACAAGGCTGAACTGCCTTGGTGAAAACATCAGCAGCGTTGGCCCGAGAGGCCACGTAAGCAAGACGAAGCTTGCCACGCTGCTGCAACTCTCGAGCAAGGAAGTAGCGTAGAGCAATGTGCTTCGTTCTGTGCTCCAGTCTGTGCTCCTGACACAAGGCTAGCATGGCCTTGTTGTCGACGTACAGAACTGGAGGAGAACGAGGCGGCTCTCCCAAGTCGGTCAGCAGGTAGGTGAGCCAGCGTAGCTCTTGTGCAGCCATGGCCCCAGCGTAGATCTCAGCCTCACAACTGGAGCTAAGAACAGAAGAAGAGCGGGTAGACCGCCAAGAGACAGAACCGGAGCCAAGACTGAAGGTGTAACCCTGTGACGACCGCTGCGTAGCCAAGTCGTCAACCCAGGAGGCGTCAGCGTGACCAGTGAGGACAACTCGAGCCCGTCCTCCAAGCACGAGCCCCATGCCCGATGTACTGCACAAGTAGCGCAACACCCTCTTCGCAGCATCCCAGTGCACCTTTTGGTGCATGCCGGGAGCCACGTAGCAAGCCAGAAGGCTGAGAGGGTATGCGAGGTCAGGTCGTGTGCAAGTCATCAGGTACATGAGGCAGCCCACAAGCTCTGGATACGGGCCACTCGGCTCTACGGACTCGTCCGAAGGTGGAGCTGAGAGCGAGTGACTGGTAGGCAGAGGAGTGGACTGTGGCGAGGAGTACGTGAAGCCGAAGCGCTGAAGGACCTGGTGCACCATGTGTGACTGAGTCAAGGTAATGGTGCGCTGTGCTCTGTCCTGGGTGATCCGCAAGCCAAGATAGCTTGTCAGCTCACCCAGGTCTGTGCACGTGTGTCTCTTCTGCAGCTCCGACTTCACGTGGGCGAGTGCCTCAGTGTCAGCAGTAGCAAAGACGAGGTCGTCTACGTATACGAGAACGTAGAACGGCGGCAGAGTAGTGTCAGTGCGTAAAAACAGAGAAGGGTCAGAAGTGGAAGGAGCAAAACCAAGAACAGCAAGAGTCGTCCTGAGCGTGTCGTGCCACTCACGGGGTGCCTAGCGGAGACCGTAGACTGGCCGCCGGAGGCTCCACTGGGTACCTGGAGGAAACGACCCAGTGAAGCCAGGTGGGCGACGCAGCCAGATCTCCTCGTGCAGGCTGCCCTGGAGGAAGGCTGTGCTAAAGTCAAGCGAGTGGAGCTCGTAGTCACGGTGAGCAGCAACGTGCAGCAGTACCCGAAGAGTGGTCATCTTCGGGGTAGGGGAGAAGGTCTGAAAGAAGTCAACTCCCTGTCGCTGACAGAAGCCACGTGCAACATAACGTGCCTTGAAGGCAAGCGGAGAACCCGGCGGCCGCTTCACCCTGAAGATCCACATGCCACTGACGATGTTCGCCCTTGGTGGGGGAACCTCGTCTACGTAGGTGCCTGTGGACTTCCAGGAAGCCATCTCGGCGTCCATGGCTGCCTGCCACTGAGAGGATTAGGGACCCTCTATCGCCTCTGCGTAAGAGCTCGGGGTCGGGATGTCTGGTGCATCCGGGTCTCCCTCAGGGGCAAGAAGCATGGACACGAGATTAGGTACAGCAGCGGCAAAGCACTCAAACTCCTCCTGTCTGTCCTCAAGAACGTCCGTGCCAAGAGCACACTCACCCCCGACGGACGGAGGACAGACAGACGCAGACGCAGACTCGGCAACAAGACTAGTGGCGTAGTCTAGGCAACAGGCTGCAGCAAAGTCATCAAGCTCAGCAACAAGAGCAGACGCAGCAGTGGACTCAAACAAAGGGTCAGTGACAGCAGTAGCCAGAAAGCGCGTGACAGCTGGACTAGCAGCATGTAGGGAGTCAGACGCAGGGTCCGGACCGGCAGAAAGAGAGGACGCAGGAGGAGGCGGCAGAGGGACACGCTGTGGAGCAGTGGAAGGACGCAGAGTCATAGAGTGAGTGCCAGAGACAGGAGGACGTGAAACACGACCAGCGCGAACAGTACGGACAGGCGACGCAGAACGAGACTCAGGCGACACAGGACGCGACTCAGGCTCACGACGCTCCGAAAGACCTCTAGTCGGTCCAGAGTAAGGAGAAGGACCAGGCAGTGGAGAGGCCGGCTGTAATTGCGACTGGGACTGGACAGGCGGTGGACGCAGGAAAGGAGGATTAGGACCTGGAGAAGGCGGGGAACCAAGAACCTGTTGAAGGAGTGGAACGTAGTACGGCCGCGGCCGCGCAGCGCCTCCAGAAACAGCAGAGACAGAACCGGTACCCTCAGCCCCAGGGTCTCCAGTCCCAGCAGCACCTCCAGTCCCAGCAGCACCTCCAGCAGCTCCAGCAGCTCCAGCACCAGCAGCACCTCCAGCACCAGCGGCACCGCCAGCAGCTCCAGCAGCACCTCCAGCAGCTCCAGCAGCTCCAGTACCAGTAGCACCCCCAGCACCAGCAGCACCTCCAGCAGCTCCAGCAGCACCTCCTGCAGCTCCAACAGCAGTAGCACCTCCAGCAGCTCCAGCACCAGCAGCACCTCCTGCAGCTCCATCAGCACCAGCACCAGCAGCACCTCCAGCAGCTCCAGCAGCACCTCCAGCAGCTCCAGCAGCACCTCCAGCAGCTCCAGCAGCACCAGCACCAGCAGCACCTCGACAGCGCCGAGAGTACCACTCACGAAGCTGCTGTGGAGAGAGGGGCTCCCGCCACGATGGGACACCCAGAGCACCTCCAGACTCAGCACGCGCAGGCTCAGCACCTCCAGACGCAGAACCCGCAGGCTCCACACGCCCAGGCTCAGCACCTCCAGGCTCAGCACGCCTAGACTCAGCACCCCCAGACTCAGCACCCCCAGGCTCCACACGCTCAGGCTCAGCACCCCCAGTCCCCGCACCCCCAGTCCCCGCACCCGCAGGCTCAGCACCCCTAGCAGCACCTGAGTCGACAGCTACCTCGACCGGCTCGTCAGGGTCTACTTGGGACACACCTGAGGGGGCAGGACCCTGGGGGGGGAGGGGGTCTACCGGGGGAGTACCTGGTGCTAGGAAGAGCGGCGGGGGGGGGGGGGGGAGAGAGGCAGTGCGGTAGGGAAAGAGACGGTAGTAAGACACCGACTCGTCAAACGTGACGTCCTGAGAGGACAGAACACGACGCGAGGTGGGGTGGTAGAACTACCACCCGGGTGCGTCAGGAGGGAGGCCAAGGAAGACACAGGGAACGGCACGGGAGGACAGCTTGTCCGCTGAAGTATCGCGGACAAAAGCTCGAGATCCCCAGACACGGAACGCGGACGCATCACCAACCTTCCCCGTCCACCGCAGAGTAGGTGTGGTCTCCGGCAAGGAGAGACGAGGCTGAAGGTTGATCTGATGCGCAGCGTACTGAACCGCGAACGGCCACAGAAAATGGGGAGCAGCCGCATGGATCATGGACGTAGGAGCGACGTCCATGACCATGCCAATGCGGCGCTCAGCAATCCCATTTTGCTGTGGGGAGGCCGAAAGCGTGAACGTCTGGCGGATGCCCTCCGCATGACAGAAGGCCCTCAGGAGGTCGGAGGAAAACTCACCACCTCTGTCTGAGTGCAGACGCAGAACAGGAAGGTCCGAGCCGAACCGCTCGCTGAGCTGGCGACGAGTACCGCGGATCCAGTCGATCAACACCTCAGGGACCTCACCCTTGCTGCGCAAGGGGAAGACTGTGGTGTAACGCGAGTAGTCGTCAACGACCAGCAGGAAGTAATGCTCGTGACCCTGTCCACGGACGCGGGCTAGGCCCCACACGTCCATGTGAAGAGTCTGCAGAGGAGCCTTAGTCGGAGGGAACGTGGAGGAGTGAGGAGCGGCGCGCTGCCGGCCCTCGACACAGGGAACACAGGTAGGGGCAGGCCCCGGAGGAAGGGGAGGGAGGGACCGGGGTAGACCCGAGACAAGGGCACGGGAGGCCATACCTGAAGACGAGGCAGGGAGGGGTGACCAAGGCGGTGGTGCCAAAGGAGAGTCTCGTGCGACAGAGGACGACACGAGCAGGGGGCAGACGCTGGACTAGACCTGGACGCGGCAGCAAACACCTGACTAGACGCAGCTACCTGACCAAACACAGAGACCGGAGGAGGCGCAGTAGTCAGTGTGTACAGACTCGACCCTGGCCTACGGGTGAAGTGGCCAGGTGGCGGCCCGTCCGAGAGCAAGTGCAGTGGGTCACACGCTGACCTCCAGGGGCGAACTGGTCAACCCACGCGTCCTGGAGGTCAGCTCCACTCACCAAGTTCGTAGAGAACGAGGGGAGGTGGAGTCCCGACAGCAAGCCCGACGGGGCCGCAGGACACGGTAGAACCGTGGAAGAGTGCGCAAGGACTGGGCCCCCATAGGGGTCAGCAAGGGAGACTGCGACAGGCTGACTGAGCGGCGTGAGTGTGGTGCTGTCTCTAAAGAAAGAGCGCGAAGCACCAGAGTCAAGTGTGAAAGTGTGCAAGGCCTCAGTAGGTGCAGTACCAGAGAGAGCAGACTCACCAGCACCTGGAGCAGCAGACTCACCAGTACCTGGAGCAGCAGACGCACTAGTACCTGGAGCAGCAGACGCACTAGCACCTAGAGCAGCAGCCGCAATGCCCGGGTCGGGCGGGACACTCAGGTAACAGTCACCCTCAGCACTATCAGTCAAAGCATACATGGCAGCAAGGATAGCATCGAAATCAAGATCAAAGATAGGCACATTCTGCAGAAGCAGATCATGCCAGCGAGGGAGCTCAACATCGTCAGGAAACTGGGCACGCCAGGCGTCAGTCAAGTGACCGAAGCAGCGTTACGTAGTGTGTGGCAGCCCACACGCCTCCCCACGACGACTGCCGGTGCGAAGAACGTAAGTGCAGGGACCAGCACCCCCAGACCTCCCACGCCCAGCGTACCACTCACGAAGCTGCTGGGCCGACGGGGTCTCACGGGAGCGCGGCTGCTGCTGGCGCTGGCTGCGCGGCTGCACCTTGACCAGCACCACCGCCGCCGCCACCTCCACCACCGCTGCCGCTGCCTCCACCACCTCCGCCGCTGCCTCCACCACCTCCACCGCCACCACTGAAGCCCCCACTCCCGGTACCACCCCCACCTCCACCGCCACCCCCTCCGCCTCCTCCGCCGCCCCCTCCACCACCCTTGCTCCCCTTGCCCTTGCTGTTGCGGCGTCTCCCACTAGGGGCAGACGCAGCTCCGACCTCCTCAGTGCCAACGAGGTCGACAGCAGCAGCAGAAGCAACAGAGGGGAGAAGGGGGACAGGGGAACACCCCTCAAAGAAAGGGGTGCGACGGTCGCCGCGAGAAGCACCTACAGCTAAGATACTCTTCTCAGCTGTAGCAAGGCGCTCCTCTGGCAGGTCGACAGTCAGCTCGGTGGGGCAAAGGGAGAGAAAGTGGTCCCTGACTGAAGAAAGGGAGTCAGGGAGGCGGGTGACTAGGTAGTAAAGGGTGATGTACATGGGGGGGGGTTCTTGGCACATAACTCAGTGGGAAGGGCAGCGCGGTAGCGGGCGTCACTAGTGCGGAGGTGAGCAACTAGGTCAGCGACTGTGGCAAAGGCGGCAAGGTCAGGGAAAAGGTACGGCAGCATGAGGCGGCTGAGGGCAGCAGTGGCAGGGGAGGAGTAGCGCGCAACTACAGCGTCGTACAAAGACTGAGCAGTCTTGTACTGGCCAAAATGCGCGCGCTCAGCAGGCGGCAGGTGACTACGAACAGCAAGACGAGCAACAGCGTCACGAGTGGTCCACTGCGAGCGAACCGTACTGTCAGCAGTGGCAGCAGGAGCAGTAGAAACACCGGACGTGTGATCGAAAAGGGATACCCCATCCCTAGAATCACACTGAAGAAAGAGCTGCAGGTCGTCAACCCACACGTCAAAGTCAACTGCACGTCCCTCAGCATCAAAGGTGAGAACAGCAGGGCTAGCCATAGCAGCAGTAGGAGCAGTAGTAGTAGCAGTAACAGCAGTAGTAGCAGTAGCAGCAGTAGCAGCAGTAGCAGCAGTAGCAGCAGAGGCAGTAGGGCAGTGCAGGGCAGTGCTGCTCAGTAGGGCGGCGCGGCTCGGTAGGGCGGTGCGGCTCAGTGGGCGGCGCGGCTCAGTGGGCGGCGCGGCTCGGCTGGGCGGCGCGGCTCGGCGGTGCGGGTGCTTACCAGGGGCGGGTGCGGGGCCGGGCTGTGACAGCAGGGGCCGCGCGAGGAGGGGTGGCGACGGTAGGGGGGGGGGGGCCGCGACAGCAGGGGGCGCGCCAGCAGAGGCCCGCGTCAGCAGGGGCCTCGCCAGCAGGGGGCCGCGTCAGCAGGGGGGGGGGGGGGGGGGGGGGGGGGGGGGGGGGGGGCCGCGTTAGCAGGGGCCGCGCCAGCAGGGCCGGGCCTTGACAGTAGGGGCCGCGCCAGTAGGGGTGGCGACGGCAGGGTGGCCGCGGAAGTAGGGGCCGCGACAGCAGGGGGGCGCGTCAGCAGGGGGGCCGCGACAGCAGGGGGCCGCGTCAGCAGGGTCCTCGCCAGCAGGGGGCCGCGTCAGCTGGGGGGGGCCGCGTCAGCAGGGGCCACGCCAGCTGGGGGGGGGGCGCGTCAGCAGGGGCCTCGCCAGCAGGGGGCCGCGTCAGCAGGGGGGCCGCGACAGCAGGGGGCCGCGTCAGCAGGGACCTCGCCAGCAGGGGGCCGCGTCAGCAGGGGCCACGCCAGCTGGGGGGGCCGCGTCAGCAGGGGCCGCGCCAGCAGGGCCGGGCCGTGACAGTAGGGGCCGCGCCAGTAGGGGTGGCGACGGCAGGGGGGCCGCGACAGTAGGGGCCGCGACAGCAGGGGGCCGCGTCAGCAGTGGGGCCGCGTCAGCAGGGGTCGCGCTAGCAGGGGCCGCGCCAGCAGGGGGCGCGCAAGCAGGGGCCGCGCTGGCAGGGGCCGCGTCAGTAGGGGCCGCGTCAGCAGGGGCCGTGCCAGAAGGGGGCCGCGACGGGCTAGGGCCGCGACGGGCAGTAGGGGCCGCTACGGGCAGTAGGGGTCGCGTCCTACAGGGGCCGGGATGGGCGACAAAGGGGTCACGACGGGCAGGGCGCGATGCGCGCTTCGGGCAGGGCAGGAAAAAAAAAGTTGTGGTGGGCCCTTAAAAAAAACGTTCCCACTAGGGAACCTGCTTAGAATACCATGTTAGAATGTGAGCGAAATAAATGGATGAACTAGAAAGCAGGTGGGTACACGTAGCAAACCTAGAAGTGTTGTACCCTATGAGAACTACCCCACTACAGCCTAAACATACTATAGCATATAAGTTTGACAGAATTGACTACAGCGAAGAAGCACTGGAGTCAACCAAGGCAACCGTCGGATGTTACGAGAAGGTCAAAGGTCTTCGACCTTTGACTTGACAAAACGTACAGTGCGACAGTAAGGACACATAACTGACTCGTTACTGAGCAGTTACCCGAGTCGGCACTGTATCGAACCACAACAGCAAAACAGTTAAAGTAGAACTTTTCATATTCCTTGTAATCATATAAAAGGCCTGTATCTCTTTGCTATTATTCAACTTATCTTGTTCTCACACACCAGTACAAGGTGGTTCAAGGCAACCTTTTATTAACGCTTCCGCAATTACATCTCTACGTCAAAACCTGATCTTAGTCCTGAAAGATCCTAAGGGCTTTTCTCAGCCCAACAGTACTACAGCTTAAAGACGCTGGGAGAGGAGGGTGTCAATCAGATAAGCCAGAATCATAGTGTAAGGACAATTCCTTTTCCTTACTTCGCGTCCCTGCTCAGCGCGTACACCACTGTTCCCGCCAACAGCACCCCACAGTATCCCGTTATCACTCGCGACATTCGCCTCAACCCCATTCCCGCCATTGTTCACGATGCGACCCAACCTCACGGTTCGGTTGGTAACCCGCGCTCCGGACCTCCGCCTCGACAGTCCCCCAACCTCGGCACCAGGCCCGTCACGCGCTCCATTTCCCACACGTTACTGTTACCACTGTAGCTTCGCTATATATTATTCGCTCAATCCTTCGCTAATTGTATTCTTGTCTCGATAGTGCAATCCTCGCTCGCCCACTCAATTGCACTCGTAACACTTGGTTATCAGAGCCTACGATCTTCTCTCGGACCGCACCCACACCTTCGCTTCCCCACTATAAAATTTTTTTTTGGGGGGGGTATACGTCTCTCAGCGATCAAGCACCGCCGCTCGTAGTGCTCTCTTTTAAGCACGCACGTCCACGACAGAGGCTCTCGCCGAGCTTGCCCGACACTCCCGCCATGGCAGAACTCAATGTCGCGACACTGACACAGGAGCAACTAGATCGGCTCATGCGCCAACTCGAAGAATCGGCGCTTGAAATCGACACACTCACGGCGGAACGCGACTCCGCTCGCCAACAATCGACAGTGAACGCACCAACACCAACACACGCACCTGCACATTCGGAGGAACCGATTGTCATCTCCTCCGGCACACCGACACAGAATGACGGCGTGGAACAGCGCTCAGGCGCAGCCAGTGAGGGCGCCGCTCACTCGATGCCTGGCATGGAGAGAAACAGGACCGCACCAAGCCCACGGGAGCCCCGCGAGTCCCGTCGGCACGTGGAATTTGCGGCGACAAGTAGCGAATATGCCGTCACGGCACCAATGCCACTCAAGCCACAGCGTCTGCCCTGTTTCGACCCGAGCCAACGTGGGGGTCCGACGGTTCAGTCGTGGGTCTTCACGGTGAACGTGTTTTTCGACGCCAATTACGTCGAGTCGGACGCAGCGAAGATTCGTTACGCTGTTTCGCTGCTGAGGGCCCTGCCATGGACTGGTGGCGAGTCATCGTGACGTCGCCACGCGCCTACGAGCCACCGTCGCAAGAAGACGGGCCCACGGGCCCAGCCGTCACCTGGAGTTTATTCTGCGAGACGGCCCAGTACAGCACGTGGGATGCGTGGTGCGCAGGGCTTCGGGCGCGTTTCGAGCCGATCGCGGCTTCGATTTCGGCGCGTCAGAAGCTGCGCACTTGGCGGCAGCTCGGGTCGGTTCAAGACTATACTAGCGGCTTTCTCGCACTATGCGAACAAGTCGGCTATATGCACGAAGCGGAGCGGGTGGACCGTTACGTCGGAGGGCTAAAGCCGAACATATCGCACGAAATTGTGCTACGCGGGCTCTCGAATTTCAACGAGATCCTCGCGCTCGCCGAGAAAATCGACATCCTACAACGATCGAGACCGGGGTCCTACTACGGACAACGTCCTCGGGGACCGATCGAGCACGCCACCGTACATGCTGTTGCAACGAATGCAGCTGCCGCGCCGTTTAAAGGGCGCTGCTTTGCTTGCAATAGGCCGGGCCGTCGCAAGAGTGAATGCCCAGAGGAGCTGAGGCGCCGCGGAACAGAGCAGGGGCGAGAGTCTCAGAGGCCGGGAAACGCCATCAGTCAGTAGAAGTTGGGCCAACTACTGACGAGACTGCCTGCTCGCCCAACTTCACCGACCCTCACCGAGTCACAGTACCAATTCACGCTATCGATCAGGCTCGGACGAATAAGGAGGGTACAATGACGGATTGCCCAGTACTGATTCACGGGAAAATACAGGGAGCAGCAGTGAAGATTTTTTTAGACGGAGGTGCAAGTCACAGCTTAGTTAATACCGCAACTGCAAGGAAGCTGCAACTGACACTTAGTCGGTGCTTACCGGAGATCGATGCACGCTTAGTTGACGGAACGCCGCTGGCCATACGAGAAAAAGTGGAAAGAGTAAAAGTCCGCTGTGGGGGGAATTTCGGGTTTACACAGGAAATGCTCGCGACGACATAAGATGGGCACGACATTTTACTAGGACGTGATTGGCTGCGACGATACAACCCACGAATTGACTGGACGACGGGCAGCTGCACTGTGCGAAGTAGCGGTAACTGGATGGAACTACCTCGCTGGCAGTCGCCTGAGTCTTCAACGATCCACGTCAACGCCATCACGATGAAACGGGCTGTCGCCGCTGGAGCTGACGTGTACGCGGTGGATATCGCGATAGTGGAAGAAGCCGACAAACCGAGTGATTTGCAGAAACTACTGGCGGCAGTACCATCGGAACTACAGGAACTGTTGAAACGATTCCTGGGGATCTTCCCCGATGACTTACCAGAGGGACTGCCACCTCAGCGGGCGCACGATCACCGAATAGAATTAGAGCCTGGGGCACAGCCAACCGTACAGCGACAGTTCAGACTGACACTGCCCGAGCTCGACGAGCTAAGGAAGCAGTTAGATTACCTGTTAGAGAAAAAAATCATCCGACCGAGCTCATCGCCATTCGCCGCACCGATCCTGTTCACACCGAAGAAGGACGGCGGGTTTCGCATGTTTATCGACTACCGAGCACTGAACAGGGTTACAATTAAATCGCGATACCCCGACGAGCTGATAGATCAACTGCGAACAGCGCGGGTCTTTTCGAAAATTGACTTACGGGGAGGTTACCACCAGATTAGGGTCGAACCGTCGGACTGTGCCAAGACAGCTTTTAGGACTCGGTACGGGTCGTTTGAATACACGGTGATGCCTTTCGGGCTGACCAACGCGCCGGCGACTTTCCAGATGACAATGAATGAGGCGTTTAGGCCACTCTTAGATAAATGTGTGATCATCTACCTCGATGACATCCTAGTCTACAGTCGGGATAAGCAGCAGCACTTAGTCGATTTAGAAGAAGTATTTACCGTTTTAGACAAACACAGACTACTGACCAAGGGTTCCAAGTGCGAGTTTTTTCAGGATAGGCTAGAGTTTTTGGGGCACGTTATTTCGGAGGCTGGAGTAGAAATCGACCCAAAAAAATTGGACACGGTAAAAGCGTGGCACCCCCCGACGAACATCACGGAACTGCAGAGTTTTTCAGGGTTCGTTAATTACGTGCGCCGGTTCGTCCCCGACATGGCACGCTTAACTGCCCCGCT